GCAGTCGTAAACCATCGTCTTTGATTTGTACGGCCCCTTGAACAAAAATCGTGTGTGCGTGGCTCACTAGAACTCTAGAGACTTTTATTTATAGTTGTATTTGCATATATATATATATATGCATATTGACATTGTAAGGGTCGCCACTCGCAAGTACTACCTATGCGTAACAATAATGCTACAAGATGCGCGTTTCGTAGCCATCATATTATTATCTACAACTAAACACATGTTTGTATATACGTTACAGGTACACATGATATTATATTATACACTCAAACCACCGGTTGCGCCGCGGCAGTGGAGACAATCCGTTGGTGGTCCGCGGCGGCAGCAGAAATGCCGCTCACATATTATATTATATAATGTGTGTGCTCGTTGTACACGCGTCTATACGACACCACGTCGATTTGTTAAAAAACTCGCTTTATCTGGTCGCAACCATCTTCGGAGGAGGTGTTGAAAGTCGTCGATGAGAAAAAAAAAAACAACGCCGCACAGAAAAAAACCAAATATATATAAATATTCTCACCTCCTTCCGACGTACACAATATTATGTGTGTAAAGCGCGAGCGTATATATATACCGCCACTGCGTGTAAAGTACAGTACACAAGTATATATACATATAATATACGTGCCAGTGATTTACGACCACCGTCACAATTTGGGCCTTGGAATGCGTTTTGCAACAATGTGCACACACACTCGGCGGCGGCGGCGGCGGCGGCGATGCACACATTCTTGTCGTACGCGTTTAATTGGCCATTAAATATCCCTAGCGCAAATATTTCACGCCGACCGATTGTCTTCCCCTCGACCCCCGCATTTGTCTGTATACCTATAGGTATACATGTATTGTCAGTGTGTCCGTTATTGCGAGTATTTAACATGGGCGATCCCTCTCGAGGAGTCTGTCGCCGCATAATGTGTGTAAGTCCAGAATATGTATACATATATACCTACAGCGTCCGAGTTTGGTCCTCAGCAGCAGTGAGTGCGTGGTCGTATACCTGAGACTTGCCGGGTTATACTTATGTGCGGTATGCGGTATCCGTCGCATGTCAAGATAATGATAATAATATGTTATTAGTCGTTATATAATGGGTATATACAGTGTGTAACATTCGCGCACTAAATCTACTCATATTCTTATTACCACCCATCGGTGCCACCACACAACCTTCTGTTGATGTGGCTGCAGCCGCAACACTAGCTTATTCTGCCAGAAAATCCGATAAAAAAAAAACTATAGGTTTATTATTATTTTACAATAACAGGTGTTTGTAAATGTGTATAAATTATAAGTTTATAATATTAGGCATATAATTAAATATGTCATATAGGATTATGCATGTGACCCATGAAAAACAATGTCCAGACCTATAAGTTGGAAAACATTATTACACCTATAGATTAGAACTCATATATTATATTAGATATAAAGGTAGGTAATATTAGACGATGAGGCATACCTATAAATAAGACAGCGAGTGGCAGTCAGGGACGCAGCTAAGACAAAATAAAGTGATCATAGTGTAGGTAATGTAGTCAGTGGTTAAAGTGAGAAAAATTTCCAGAGGGGACTAATGTCTCCACATAGTTTTAAGCGTTTCATATAATATAATGTTATGTCTAATGTATAAAATCCTAATATGTTAAAGGGGACGCTTTTTAACCGCCGTCAGAGGTAGGGGGACCGAGTCCTCTTGCGTCCCCTCCCCACTTTAACCCCCTGAATGTAGAACCTATAATTACTCGGCGATCGACATAATATATAATATATTATAATATCCTTTTAAACGGTTGTCGTCCTATACAATATTAGAATCATTCGATCCTATAACGCGCGTGTTTGTGACGAGACTTTTCCGATTCGCCCCCCCCCCCCCTAATGCGTTGTGTTTTCTACAATATATTATGATATAGCTACACGCGCAGGCGCAAACGATTGCGGAGATCGTCGCCAGAAGGATAGTGTTTTGTAATATAATATATCTGCTGCAGATGAGAAGACCGCCAGCGATGACCTTTCGATTGTGTCTGGTCGTCTTCGGTGGTTTTTTTTTTTTGCTCAAACACACATTATATTATTTTTTTCGTTGCGAAGACGGGCGTGTGTTTTATTTACACCAAATTTTCCTATACGAGCCGCGATTTCTCCCCCGTCCTCCCACACCCTGTGAGGTGACGATTGGTTTCAACTATATATTATACACCTGCGCTGCAGTGCTCGCATATACCTATATGTAATATATTATATTCATTAACATTGTAATTCGCAATAAAATAAAATAATATATGGCTAGGCAGCGTATTACTGTTTTTTTTTTGTTTTTTTACACAAAACGCATACGCCGTCTGTACAATTTCTCTCATACAGCATATATATTATGCGTATAAGCCAATAACGCGCATGCGACGACAGAGATAAATCGTTTGGTTTTTTTTTCCGTTTAGATTTCGACGACAATAATGTAATTAGCAGTGTCCGTATTATACACGACGAAAAAAAAAACGACTACGATAAATAAAATCGAAAATCTGATTGCCGTTTTTTTTTTATGCTTTATTTTCGCACAATATATACCTATACCTCGGTATACACGACACACACACAATATGTTAGGTATTCCCATATATCGTTTGGGTGTGTATACAGACACGTACACAATATATTTGAATTGATAAATTGTCCCGTCGTTATAATTATATGTAAATATTATTGCGAGGTGTTGTTATTTAACCGGCTAGCCGCAGCGCGTATATGGGGCTGCGATATTAAATAACACAATTTTTTATTACTATATGTATTATATGTATATAGGTACTGATACACGAAAATGTACCGTTAACCTATTGTTAAAGCACGCAAATATGTACAACACGTCCCTATTATTATTATTTCAACAATAACGTCATATCGAATTATTAATATTATACAGTCGCTGTTCAAAAAAGCTTATACCCTCATATTCTCCGGACATAGGACCCAAGTCCAGTGTTCACCAGTGCCTATATTTGTATACTTAAAGCTAAACAACGATGAGCACATATTCACTTATTGGCTGGTAGACACCTAAATAATATGTATAACAGTATATAATATACTGTAGAATAATATAATGATACAATTTCCATATTATTTGTTTATTATTGAACACTTTTTATGCATACCATTTTTATTATGATTTTAAGGAGGTGGGGGGGAGTGAAAAACACTTTGGGAGGTGGCAGTTTTAAAAAGGTTGGGAACCACTATGCTGTAGATGATACAGTATTTATATAAGAATATTGTACACCTGAATAGCGAGTGGACGATCGACGCACAAGTTGATGAAAACCGTAAACGATCAATATCCGACGAATAGTTTGTGCCGTTTTACGTTACCTTCCAATCCATCTGTCGACGAAACGAAGAGACGACATAATTTTTTTTTTCCTCAAGAATAAACGAAAAAAAAATTGGGTGTCGTGTAACTCACCGGCTTCGAAAAACTTGTTTTTGTTCAAAAGACATGACGATGACGTCGCATACAATATGTTCGCGTGTATAGTGTATATATATATGTAGGTATAGTAGTTGGCCGTTACACCGAACAATATAATATATTTATAGAAAGAGAGCGTAAGAGGATAAAAAAATAGAATTTTTTTTTTTAAGAAAAAACAATGTATTAGGAAAAGTACCGACTACAATATCACAAAAAAAACATAATAGAATAATTTAAATTTAAAAGCTATAACAATGGTTTTTTTTATATTCCAATTAATTACAAAATAAAATAATATCGCGTACCGCTATAAATATAATTATATATCGTACAAATACAATGTACAAACCGCTAAATATACACTAAAATGGAAAACAATATATAATATGATGCTGCACGAGAAGAGATAATATTATTATTATTACATAGTAGTTTTTGTCATATACATTCCGTCTAGTTTGTGTGTATATATATCGTTATACACATATATATATATATTCTTTTAAAAATCGTAGTTTACGTCCTATTATATTGTATAAGAACGAGAAAAAAAAAATAAAAACAAGATGAAAGGAAATAAATTAAAATAATAAAACATATAATGTGTCATATCATATTATAGAAGGAACGTCGACGATCATCGGTTCACCTCGCACGAGAAATAAATAATAATAGGTATATCATATATAGGTAATGGACAATATTACAATATTTATATCGTGTATCTCGTGTCCCCGCGGCAAAAATGCAAAAAGATTGTCCAGTCGTCTTAAACCGGACAGACTCGGGTACGCCTGTCCTCTACACATAATAATAATATGATATAAATGTATATATATATATATTTATATAAATATTATATTATTACACCCACAGTACCCATACGTATTTTATAAAACATTGTGTGTGTAGGTTATGCGCATGTCGCATATCGTATAATATTATATATAGGTAGGTCGTCGGTGAAATAAAAACGACAAAGTCTCCACTACACGAGACCCCCCTCCCCCCCATATGCCCTGCCAATCACGTCGCTCAAACCCCTGATCGTTTTTTTTTTTTCAAGAAATCTGCGCACGTCACTTTTAGTAATATGCATAATAATTGTAACACATGACCTGTATATATATATACATATATCAATCACGTTATATAGGTATAATATTATTATTTCTTCCTCGTATATATTATATATAATTATTTTGGTTTTTTTTTTAAATATTTTTTAACAGTAGTATCATTACTTTTTTTTTTATTGTCCGCACAATGTCTTATACATGCCGTTTTCTATATATATATAATCATATCATATTATATTATTATATTATTATGTGTTTTTTTACCTTATACTCATTAATATATATAATATATTATAATAATAATATGTTATTTACAAAGTTTACTCTTATATATCATTATCGTTAATATTTACAAAATAATGTTTATTTGTTAATTTTTTTTGTTTTGTCTTTGGATTTACGTGTGTTTGTGGTCGAGCCGCTTCTCGTCAAGCCCGTTCGGCGTGCTGGACGGCCACGACGGATTCGGCGTCGGACGACGACGAGGCGGGCGACGGTTCGGCGACCGCCGCGGCCGCCGAGTGCAGTTGCTGCTGCTGGTGGTGATGGTGCAGATGGTGCTGGTGGGCCGCGGACGGTTGGAACACGATCCCGCCGCCGCCGCCGAAGGCACGCGCGTGATAGGCCGCGGCCGCGGGGTCCTCGTAGAACGATCGGTACAGCTGCTCGTGGCGCGCGTAACCGGCGGGCAACGACGGTACGGGAACGGCGGGCGGCCGTCGGTGGCCTGCGGACGACGCACCGCCGACGGACGGAGGGGACAGTTGCTGGTGGTGCGGCGACCGCTGGTGCTGGTGCGGTGACGGCGGCGGCGGTGGGGTGGACGGCGTCGACGTCTCGACCGCGGCCGCGGCCGTCGTCGTGGTCGTCGTGTCCTTGCTGGCCATGTCGGCCAGCGACCAGATGCGTGGCTTGGGGGCGCTGCTCTGCGAAGGCAGAAGGCCGCCGCCGACTCCGCCGGTGGCCGGTGGCGACACGGACGCGAACCGGTGGTGAGCCGGCGCCGCCGACGGATGGTGGTGGTGATGGTGGTGGCCAAGGTGTGACGGCGGCGGATGGTGCGCCGCTCCGGGATAGTGGCCGTGGTGGTACGGCGGTGGGTGGTGCAGGAAGTGTGGTGGCGGCGGCCGATCGAACAGCTCCGGCGAGTCCGGTCCGCTGTCGGCCCGCGATTCGCTCCACTCGCTGCCTGTGTGATTGGCGCCCGGCCGGTCACCGTCCTCGCTCGATCCCGTGCCCGAGTCTTTACAATCTGCAAGCAAAAACGGAAAATATTTAATAAATATATTTTGTACTTGGTCTTCACTTTTATACTCTGACAAATTACAGTCAACTAATTTCGCTATGTCGAATTCCAAGGGGAACAGAAGAAGATATCGACAAATTGCAGATACCGACTTTAATATATTATATTAATGGTATATACATTTAAAAAGGGTTTTCTATTTATTTAATTAGAGTTATCGACTTTCGATATGAAAAAAATCTACTTAATTCTCTATAGGTATCAACACTCAAAAGTGGGTGGTTTGTTGACTAATAAACGTATAGGTATTTATTTATTTTGTATGCATAGTTTATTCTTAAAATTCAAAAAGCTCGTTGTACACTGTCTTGTACAGTCCATATAAATTATTGACTAGTGCGGTGGTAACCCGGTTATTCGGTTAGATCAAACTAACCGTAGGTATAAAAGTATATTATATAATTTAATTGGTACCTATAGTATGTACCGCGGTATAATATATCATAGTTTATCCGAAAATGTTAGTTTTGTATTTTCCCCTTATAACACTTGTTGCACACGGTCGGCGGTTCCAAAGCTCGGTTAAGCTAGTTATTTTCGTCGAACGGAGAGCGATAATTTATACTATTACACATCGAATACGTTATAATTCGCACGATGACCTTTAAGAATAATAACACATAATAAGAACACGGGCGTACATCGACGGTATATGCATAAAACTTCATGTATACCTAAGTAATGACTTTTGACTTGGTCGCCGTCGATTTATGCAATAATACATATGTATACATTCCGATCGGAGATATTATAATAAATATATGTGCAACCGACGCGCGTTTATTCTTAATTAACTATCGGCCACTTTGACGGGCATACACTTTAAACACTATAATATTATGTATACACGGTATTTTTGCACATTAAATCGTCGGCGCCGGCGCCAAACCGATAATAATAATCCCACGTAGTGTAAAAAAATCACACATAGGTACACATAATATTATCATTTTAATATGAACACAGACGCCGCCAGTGTTATCGCTATGGCAGCGGACCGCGGGACTGCTATGGTTGTTACTCATTTTTACTCGATTTGTTATTAAAGCGCCCGCGAAAATCGTTCTATAAAATATTACCGCACGTCATGTATACATTTATTATACACGGTACCTACGTATATATGAGATGGTTATAATGATGTAAAATATAACATTAATTTTTTCTCCCGTCGGCGAAACGGTTGTTGTTAGGTACCGTTTATTCGGAATGCAAGCAAAAATATAAACGATAAACCGAACGAACCGCGTCGCAAAACCATCGTTCTCTTTTACGCGGACCTCTGAATATTATTATTATTCATCTACGACGATGATGTCTTATGAAACTTATGAATCGTAGACAAAAGGATCCGAGCACAACAACATCGAAGACCTTTGTGGTGGTGGGGGGAGGGAAGGACCAGAAATATTTGTTGCCACATATCGAAACGAGTGTAGAAATCACACAAGACCGGTGTGTTTGGAAAAACGAATGCCAGCTCCTTACATTACTATATATAAATATAACACCCATTAAATGTCACCGATCGGATAGCGACGAAAACGCGGAAAAGGTCTGTGTTAGTTATGCCGGAGTGTTACAACACTTGTCAACGGTTCGATTACGCATTTTTGGCGGTTATAATATTATACACACATATAATAATATTGTACCCGCCGTTTCCGGTTTCGAAGCTGTAGTTTTATAATTAGTACGGCACTGATCGGCGGCGGTGGGCCGCAGGACATTTCCGTCAGCGAAACGATAATAATAATGTTTAATATTTATTTGTTTTTTTCCAGCACACACACTCACACGTGTCGTGTAAAAATGTACTGTTCGCGCGGGGGAGAGAGTCTGGCGATGAGAAAATTGTATAATGCGATGCAATGTGTGTGTGTGTGTATAGCCTCCTTCCGACGTGACATAATGGTATTATAATATATTAATAAAATCTCTATATAGGACACGCCGGCGGAAAACCGAACGAGATATTATATGGACCGTGTTATTGGCTTTAGATATTATTATTATTGTCATTACGACGGGCACGTGACTAGTGTTCGGCTCCGGAAATTTACGACCACCGAAATAGGGGAAATAAAAAAAAAAAAAGGGGGAAACTATAATACATATATATAATATATAGCGACGTTCGTAGGCGGAGGGAGGCTCTTCGAAACGGTCATTGGAACCGACGGGCCGAGTGATTCGAGGCGTACCGCTGCAAAGTGTTCGTGCAATGATAGTAAATAATATAGCAATCGACTATGTAATAATATCTAATATGCGACGTGTATATACGTTTTATTCTTAGTTCTGGTTAAAAAAATAAATCGTTAATATCAAATCGAATGTTATATAATATGGATACGGCGCATGGGGGGAGCAGATTGATGGCGTATAATGATGATTCGTATATTAATCGACCCGACGAATTAGATTCGGAAAAAGGAGTACTTACACGCTACAACTATATAGTAGGAATTATGCACTCAATACGAACACACGCATCTGCAGGCAAATGCATAGATGCAGTATAACACAAGCATATATTGAAGATTATATATAACACGTGACATAATATACGTTCAAATTTTAGCTGTTCTGCAGCATTAATATAAATCGGTGGGAAACATGAATTCGCCAAAAAGGATCTCGTCAGTACGCGTTCTTATAATGAACTTGAAACGATATATTATGTATATAATACGATAAGAAAATTATAAAACGATGTGGACGAAAACTACACGGGTTGACACATTTTTTTAATGTTTTTTTTTTACATGGGTACAACCAACTACAGAGCATAATGTGTACGTTTGTTTATTACACGATATTATACATTTTAATTTTAATAAATAAACCCTTCTATACTTGGATTTAAGAGTCTAAATAAGATTTTACTATACCCTATACCTATGTATGTTACGTAATGTCGTGTAATTTTTTTTTTTATTATACCTTATACTGGTAATAACAAGGAAATATTTTATTTATCTTTTAAATGAACACCGAAACTAACCCCCGCCCATACCATTGTATAACACGTGACTGTTACTTAATATAATATGCAGAGACTTTGTAGGTACTTTGTAGGCACTTACCGAGATCTTTTGGGTCTGGGCTCTTTCGGTCATCCTCGTTGTTGTTGTCCTCGTCTTCGACCCTATTTCTGGGTTCCCAAGTCATCTTGTTCTCCTTCTTCAACCGCCTCCGGGCATTAGCGAACCACGTGCTCACCTGCGTGAGCGTCATCTTGGTGATGATGGCCAACATGATCTTCTCGCCTTTGGTCGGGTAAGGGTTCTTCTTGTGCTCGTTTAGCCAAGCCTTCAGCGTGCTGGTCGTCTCTCGAGTGGCGTTTTTCCGCCTGGCACCGTTGAGGTCCATGCCGTACCTGAAGCGAAACGAAACGATATTATAAATAATGACTCACGTGATGTAATATCATAAAATTAGAATTTAAGACCATTGAGTTATAAAAGGCGGCAGGGCAAAACGACAATAATTATAATATAATATTATGTGCCCAGGTATACTGTGCGCGTGCAGTGTGTGAGAACGTGACACTGCAGGTAGATTATATAATATAAAGTATTTTACTTTTTTTTTTATAATCAACGAGTTAAGCTGGCCGCTAGGTATGTATATATATATACTGAGCGGGTGTGATATAGACAATATATTATACGAGGGAAATCGCACAAATTGTTTAAACAATTCCGTCGTCGGTTCACGCGGCCGGATTTAATGCGGAAGCCATCAGGAGAGAAAAAAAAAAGGCCGGGGCGATTTCACGCGGTTAAACTTTTCGAGGAAAGAGAGCGAGGGAAAAAATCAGGGATAACTCCCCGGGCTGGGCTCGGGTCTGCCAATCGGGTGGGACGGAGGAGGGGTGTAAATGTTTTTTAACTTATGCAGATTTTTTTTTTTTTTACCCGCCGCCGACGGCGATCCTTTTTATTAATTCCAATTAAGCGCCGCCCTCCGTTTAATGGAATTTGAATAACTCTCATCGCTTCCCTCTTCGCGACCAGCAGCATTATACACACCCGCCCACGAAGCCGCCGACCTGAACACCACGACTTTTCTCCACCACCCATTCTATGTATACACTTCACACACACACACACACACACATACACATACACATATATATATACACCGTCTCCGTTAATCACGATTCCGATTCTTCAGGCGAAATATCCAATTAACGTCTCAACGAACTAATGGATTTTTATTTAGAGCCATCTCTACTTGTCACTGCGTTAAAACCCGATTTACATTTTTTTCCTTTTTATTTTTTTTATTTTAAATCCACTCAGTTTTTATTATTGTCAACCTGCACCAGGGGTTAGGGTCACGGAGACGGCGGAATAAATTTGATTTGGAATATATTTTGAAACTCGTTTAAGTTTTTCCGAACGGAAATAAACTATATCTTTCACGCGCCTGCACCGCCGACATAGAATTTATAATATATATATAGGTACTTAGGAACACATTATACGTCTGTGTGTAATTTTTTTTAAATTGCCTGATTTTATGTCAACGTCTTTTTAGATTCTGAGTGAAACGATGAATGTATTGATTTTACAATGATGTGTGTTTTTTTATTTTTTTTTTATTTTTTTATTTTTTTTGTGTCTGTCATCACGTTTTAGGACAGTAAAAGTGCTTGGATTTTCTTCATCAGTAGCTTTTCTGATAGGAAAGTGAATCTAGTTGGTACTTTGGGGGGTCAAAAGTAAACATTTCCCAGTAGTTTTCACAAGCGCCGGGAAAAACAACATAAAAATTAAGGAAAAACGGGAATTTTTACGCAAAATTGGTTTTCCAAAAAATCGATTTTGGTTTTTGGTGTAACTCTGAAACAAATGAACGTATATACATGACATTTTCACTGGTTGTTTATATTTGCATTTTCTATACACGATAACATTTTCAAAATATTTTGATTTATTTTGAACTGTTTAGGGACATTTTCATTTTCCATTTTTTTTTAGTTTTTTTTCTAAAAATATCAATAAAATTTTATTTGTTGGTTGCGAAAGCTTGAAAATTTAATAGAAGGCTCCTAATATATTGCTTCAAAGGCAGATGAAAAATATTAAAAATCCTTAGTCACAATTTTTTTTTATAAGCATTTAAAGTTCAAAAATTGACAAAATATGGGAAAATCACGAAAATTAGCAAATTATTTTGAGTTAAGAATTCGTAAAAATTTTTCTTTTAAATCTAAGATTTGAAAATTAAACACAAGATTCCTTATAAGTTTGTCTACCTTTATCAAAAGAAAAATGTTTATAAGAAAGTCAAATTAAATTTTTATGAGCGTTTGAAATTCAAATTTTTACAACATTGAATATTCACTCGATTTCCCATGTAGCGATTTCCTTATTTTGTTGTAATTCAAAAACAAATAACTGTAGATACATGAAAATTTCACTGAATGTTTAAATTAGCATTTTCTATACACCATACAATTTTGAAAATATTTTGACTCTTTTTGAGCTGTTTATGGACATTTACAGCTTTCAATTTTTTTTAGTTTTTTATTCTATAAATATCAATAAAGTTTTATCTGTTGGGCCAAAAAGTGTAAAAATTTAATACAAGGCTCCTGATATATTGTTATAATATCAGTTGAAAAATATTAAAAATACATAGGCACAGTTTTTTTTTATAAGCATTTAAAGATCAAATTTTGACAAAATTTATCAAAATCTCGAAAATTATCAATCATTGTAATTAATAAATTATAAAATGTTCAGTTTTTATAGCTAAGGATTGCAAATTCAACACAAAGGTTCTCGTAAATAGTTCATACTGTAACCAAAAAATCTAAAAAATATATGAACACAGTTATTTTTTACAGACATTTTAAATTCAAATTTGGACGAAATTACATATTAAAAAACCTAGAATAACTATTTTAGTTATTTTGTTGTGATTGAATAATATTATTCGTGGATACTTGAAACTTCTAAAGTGTACTATTATATATCTATGATAGTATCACGGTTTTTGTTGATGTATAACGCGTTATAAGTACCTAATGGATATTTTGATATGATTAATTTGGAATTTATTATAGGTACCCATTATAGGTCAATTTTTTGTTTAATACCATAGATATGTATATAATATGTCTTATACATAGACTGACATACCGTCTGCGCTCAGAATCGTTTTTCTTATACAATGATATTATATCGTTGAATTCAAATTTAATATCATCCATTATACAGTGACCCACTTGTAACCTACTGTACAGCAGAGCGACACCCACTTGCCCACCTTTTTTCAGTTGTCTACAGCTAGGGCCTGCGGGGACGAGCGGGTGGGTCAAAACAACGCCAGTCAATTTTTTTCAACATTGATTTTTTATGTTAATTCACCAATATTATATATTATTATCATACACAGATAGTGCAATGAGTATACATATTATAATATTGGTGAATTAACATAAAAAATCAATGTTGAAAAAAATTAAAATCAGATAAAAAGCTGGTATAATACTATATAATATTATATTATGCAAGTATAGGCACTATATTGGTACTTAACGCGAAATTGTACCTTAAATACGAATACTCCTCGTATCTATATAGGTGCTAAGGCATACAGCATGATATGAGCCCATAATATACAGCCATGTATTGTGACATTATGAACACACGAACAAGACCAGACGGCATAATAATAATAATGGTGTGGAACTAAATTCTCTAAACACACATAATAAACGGTCGCTTTGCTGGCAGATGGTCGACGGTTGCGTGCGCGTACACACTATACGAAATGTGTGTGAGCATAATATAAATACTTTATACAATTTTCTGACAGTTTTAGGACGGTATTTTTCTTCTATAAATGACGTGGACACACGGTCGAATCGGTTTGTACGATAGCGTATAATATTATTATGATGAACATTATTTTTCGTCTAAACTCCTCATCGATACATTTGAACATGGCGACGATGGTCATATATATATAGGTACGTAGGTCGTGTCGACCAAGACGATAAACCGTGTTGACGGTCACCGAGGACGACTATAATATTTTCACCGCGAAATTATTGTAACGAAATGTAACCGATGTACCTATTATATACACGTTATATAATAATAAAATGTACGACGTCGTATACATTTATTTTTAATTATTTTAGTGCGATACCTATACTTTGGGTTCCCGCAATGACCACATCTGCAATATGATATTATGTGATCGTATAATATATAATATATGTAAGTACAATATTATGTACTTAATATAATATGCGAAATAACAATATACGATGATCGCCTTATATACGATTTTTTTTTTATATCTGCACCGCGGTGGTAATTGATAATGCCATTCTGACGTGCGCACTAGTTTTACTACGGTATTAAAACCCTGACCTACAATATTCTATATAGGTATATATATGTGTAATGTGTACACTATACTGTGTCTCAGACGCAAAAATTAAAGAACCTACATAGGCATGCTAGAAAATGTCAAGTGAAAATAATACCCAAAAGTTTTTGATTGATAAAAAAAATATTTAGGTTTGATTCGATTTTAATGCCATAATATTTGTCGAAAATACCTGTACCAAACTATATGGGTACCTACGTGTTAAACATAATGTCACGCATATAAGTACCTAATATTTCGAAAATCTAAACATCTATAAAAATTATAACTTAAGTTGCTGTAAAATCATGTAGAGAATAGTGTATACCTATTATAATAATATTGTGTTATAGTTAACAATGTATGGTATTTTGAGAAACACGTTTGTAATTAAGTACGATATTAACATAACGTAGGTAGTTATATAACTTATATATTTTTAATATTCATAATGTGAAAAAATGAACGTTTAGCCGTTGTCATATTATACCTCAAACAAAGTTTTAAAACTTATAAGTCAAAAGTCAAATAATTTCGTAGATAAAAATAAAATGTTATTTAAACGTATTGGTATGATATTTTATGTTACGTTTAATATATTGTATTTACCCGACAGAAATATCAAATTATATTGAGTCCTACGAATGCTTATAGACGAAAAGTGTAAAACCGTATTCGTTCAACGACCTTGGTCAATGCGTTTTAATTTCAGAAAGGTCGACGTTGTAGATATAATAATATATTACCTGGTTTTAACAAACATTATAATTAAAGTTGGGCAATACGATATAACGCCGAAATAGTACCGATATACCTGCAGTCATTAGAGATTTTGATACCGCGGGTTCACTAACCTGGACAATATGAGATACAATAATGTTACCATGTGTAATTGTGTACCTATATAGTAGGGAAATATTTATAGTTTACATTTTTACAGCAAAATTTTCCACCCAGATTAGGCGCATGGCGTGTATTTTATCT